CTTAACACGAGAGGATCTGGACTGTTCCTCCACAAATCCTCTCTCTCTTACGCTAAGCTCTTAACTACAGTCTCTAGATTCTGCCTGGGGGTTCATTCTTTACAACACCCTGTAATTAAGTCTGCTCAGCTGTAATACCTTGTTTGTAAGACAGACATAAACAGCACTCTAAGCTCACAGCTACACTGAGGCAGTCCATTTTTCACTCTCACTACAGCAATTATTGGGGCGGGCGGCACATGTCCCCAGAAAGGCGCATCTGCCAAGCTCCACGGAAAGGGCTGGTTCAGGCCACCACTCTCCACACGTCCAAGATGAAGACATCAACCCCCCTTCCTCCAAACACTTGTTTTCATTACAGCGTTTCGCCGCCGCCATTCGTTAAGCTCCAAGCACCGGAGAGATGGGAGGTCACTGTCGCAGCTCAGCGCACGCAGCGTTTCAGCCGCGCCGAGGCTCGGGGCGGGAGGTAAAAAGGGATTTTGTGGTGCCCGAAGGAGTGGGTGCCACTCTCTGCGGAGCGATTGTAGTAACCGCGACTCTGACATTCAAGGGCATCTCTCCAGGAACGGGGAGGAACAGGCCCCCGGCCCAGCGCAGCTCGAGCGTTTGCAGATGTGGGCTGGAATCTGCGGCGCCTGCTCCTCTCCAGGACAACACGTAACAAGCAGCGCTGCCTTTCCTGACGACATGACAAGAACAAGGTGTGTAATAACATTTCGTGTGCTCATCTGCAGCACAGCAACAAACACTAATTAATCTTGTCAAACACGCAAGCATCTGTACCAGTGTCTCCCACTGTTTCATTAACAGTAGATAAACGAAGCTCTGCTGCTCTTCAGTTGTCCTACAGCCGGTCTCGAGGATGCGGTAGGAAAAACATCTGGAGGTCAGCTCTTCACCAGGTGTAAATCCAAAACAAAAGTCATTATTATTAACCACTCCGAGTTCCTGTGTAAATGATCGTTAGGATGTTTCCTTTCAAAATCCTCCCTCACGTTCAAAGGCTGGACTTGAAACACAGCAGGTTTTTAGGAAGACGTCCTGGCTGGATGCATGAATTTTCGGCACTGCAGAATCCACCCCATGCTGCAGTGCAACATTTCTGACTGGAAACCCTTCTTTGAACCGTCTCTAGTTTATCAACGCCCTCCCTGAAGTGCGGCATGACGGCGAGACCGAGAACTTCGGCCAAACCTCCACCAAGCCCACCATCGTGTCCGAGAGCAGCCGACCACAGATCCCCAGAGAAAAGTCTCAGGAAACACACGGGAGCACCCCCCACCACATGCAGCTCACACGCTTCCCAAGCCAGAGGGTTTCAGTCTGTAATAAATGGCTTTTTTCACCATGAAATCGCATTGCCACCTCCTGACCCCCCCAACTTCCAACACGAATTCTCACGGCTTAACCAGATGCAGAGAACCAGCTCCCTGCTTGTCCCGAGCCCCCACAGAGCAGCGCCGGCCACCACCTCCCGGTTCTTGGGCAGGGGACAGGAGGTGAATGATAAATCTCTACCCGCAGACCACTGATGATTTATACACCTCGCTCCTGCCCTCCTCAGTCCGCTTTTCCAGATTAAAAGATCAAACCTACTGCATGTCTCCTTCTACGGAAGCCACTCAACACCTCTTCTGGGGGCTGGGGCGCTGGAAGAGGGAGGGCTGGCTCCGAATCACATACAATATTCAAAACAAGAATAAAATCCACAACGCGTTTGCATTTTTTCAAAGCTAAACTCCCCAGCAAGAACTCCCCATCCTCTTGACTCAAGGTTAATATTTTTTTTCAGATGCAAAGCATTACATCGTGCTTCAGTGCAACGACTATTGCTTGCAAAACACAGCCCTCCAGCTAAGCAATCAACATCACTGTACCAAGGACCTGTCCTCCTCATTATTTATCATTCTCTAAGTTGTTGCATCTTCTCCAGATCTTCCTCCATTAACTTGCATTTTCTTCCAGATCACTGAAAAACATGGGTTTTTAAGAAGAAGAATTAGCCCTAAAAGAGGATCCTCTGGACCGCTGCTGAGAGCTTCCCACGGCACCCCAGCCAACTCCCGCTCTGCCCCACGCCCGAGGAGGGTGCAAAGGCTCAGGGGACCCCCGGACAGTGTTAATCATCGAGGACTTTACAGAGCACAGCCACTTGCACAGGGCTGGAGAAGGACAAGCTCAAACAAGACGTCTATAAACACCCAGCAGTGGAACAGCACTGGCTGCACACGCCCCACCATGCAGCTCCGTTAGCTCAGGAGGAGAATTTCTAGAGTTGCGGGGCACAGCTCTGGAGCAGCATCAGCTCAGTGTCACGTCAATAGACGTCGTTAACATTTATCCTGCAAGACAGGTCTATAAAAATCACTCGGATTTCGCTAGGGAGGAGGCAAACGAGAAGCGATTATATATGCTTTTTCATCTGACAAGCAGAAGCAAACACGAGATGAAGTTCTCAGGCGCAGGCTTCAAACCAGAGCGAGCGACTTCTCTCTTGTTTTTCAAGCAGCAGCTGCGGGGCACCCTCCCAAGCAGGTATCGGAGCCCCCCGCCTCTCTCGCTGCTGGCAGATCCTGCCTTTAAATAAACCCGCGCACGCAACAAAGAGCTTTCCACAAAAGCATGACGGCTCCAACCGCCACTAGAAAGAGAATAAATTAAGAGAATGAAATCTCTCTGTCTCCAGGCTGATATCAAAGAGGAGAATGTTGGAAACGGGGCTGGGAGGGGGATGGTCACAGCCTCGAGGAGGCACAAAACTTTCCAGTGGGGGTGGTAGATGGGAAGAGGCATCTTCAGGCCAAGCAAACACAACGCCCTTCCCCATTGCTGCTCAGCACCATGGGCACGGTGGGACATACTCCCGCACGGGACCACTGAACTCCTACAAAGCCACCAGCACCCTGTCAGGTGGCCCTGCGAGGCAGGGGGGCACCCCCCCAGCGCCGGCTGGGTGGTAACGCCGATGTTTGTCCACCCAGTCAAGGCCACCAAGAGCGAGGGATGGGGAGAGACTGCACGCAGGGAGCGGGAAGGAGCCGGACTGCCCTTCTCAGCAGCGATAAGCCGACAGCCTCGCCCACAGCCGGGCTGATCTTGGCCCCGCAGAGCGTCCAGGCCTCGGTTCCCCCCACCGCAGCCCAAGGGGGTCCAGGCTCCTGCTCTGCCCCGGCTCCGCACTTCACCATTCGCACCCCGGGGGCTCGCTGCGGCGGAGGGGCAGCACGGTTCAGCCGCCCGAGGGAGCGATGCCTCACCAGCTCCCTGCAGCCGCTGGACCGGGCAGGGGGGAGCGCAGGGACACGGCCCCCGTCCCCCGCCCCCCGCCTTAAACACAGCAAGGGACGAGTCACAAAGCGTCAGCGCCTCAAGAGCCCCAGCGAGCCCCAGGAAAACGGCCG